CTCTGGGGATCATGAATATTTGTACCAAATTTATTAATTTTGTATTTTTATTTATTAATTCCCATCATTGTCCAGGCATTTGACTTCAGACCACAATTTTGGGGGCTAATTGAATTGAACATTGAATTTCCCCTCAGGGGGATTAATAAAGTAAATAAACTTATAAACTTATAATTGATGAACACCGTCATCTCTTGTTTTTGTTTCTTTTAATTATTTATTTTTTGACTAATTCGGCAATTAAATAAATAACTGGGCATCAGTTTTGTTGTCTCCCCACAGGCATTTATCAATATCATTTTTATATTGTATTCATGTTGATTTATCTCTTTTGTGACTTCCAGTTTGAAAAGGAAACTTCTGTCTTTCTCTTACTTAATTTGAATTTTCTTCTAGGACTTCCTAGTTTCACATTTCTACTGTATTCTATGGATATGGAGCTACATTTCATGTTTCATTTATGTATGTGGTTTTTTTTACAGTGATTGAAGGTATAATCGTCTTAGGTGATTTAATTGGTTATTACAGCATGTGGCCTGTTGTCAGTTTTACCTGCCAAAGGTCTATAGTCGAAACGTTGCTTAGCGCTATTAAACTATTAAAAGAGTTCACAATACACAACTTTCAAAGTCTCCAGATCACTGTACTGTTCTCACTACACAATGTTCTGTTTTATATTTGGGAGTCTTGAGTCGTAATTGCTGATTTGGGGCTATTGGAGCACCAAGCACCTTTTACACCCTTATGTTAGCTTTCATTGAAAAAAAAAAATCTCATAACATATCTGTAAGATCCATTAATAACAAAAATAACTTACTGCAGTCCATTTATATACAGGTAGGAAGGCCAACTGCCAACTTGTGCACAAAGCCCAGCTACACAAAGGGATTGTGCTACTTGCTATAGAGACGAATGTGACATTTAATCAAAATGGAAAGATATTTTATGTGACGTGCTGCCAACAACCCAAACATTGTGACAGATAATCACTGAGGGCCAGTCTAACACAATGAACGTCACTCAGTCACTCAGCCTGAATTAAACCAGCCTTTCTGTCCATGATATTGTTTAAGTATTTATCTTCAGTATTTGAACTGTCAGCTTGTGACAAGTGGTGCAGTTTTCCAGTTTTGTAATTTTCCACAAGTGGCATCATATCGGTGTGGGACCTCAATTTATCCTTGCTTAAATTTAGAGTGACAGAAAGAAAAATAATCAAACTTCTTTAAAGCCCAATGCGAGTTAAACAGTTGCTATTGCATTATTAAGATGGTAGAATCATTGGAAGGACGGTTGGTGGTGCAGTGGATGGACTAATAGTTGGGGCAGGATGACGTCTGATGTGCCAATGTCTGATCTCATCTGTTGGATAAGTATAAAAAGGCACCACAGCTGTTTCTATCTGTACGCTCTTAGTCTGCTGTGCTCAGATGTTGAGCTAGTGTTTGGTTTACTTCTGTTGCTGTAGTGCTGATGCTCGTTACTAAAGAGAGCCCTGTGAATACACAACGTACAGCTGACTCCTTTACACTGTGTCTACACTTGGCCTTCTGTGTACACGTGTAAATTAATCAAGTCTTTTACCACAAAAAAGGACCATCCTCAGGGCCCACATCAAATGTCGTCATGCGTAGAGGTATTCAGTGAGGTTTTTAACAAGCTTTCCAGCTCTCTCTCTTAAGTATTACAAAGAACGGCACCTTTCGTCTGTGAATGTTTCCAAATCAATTTCATTTGTGAAATTCACACAACAATAAAGACTAACTGTCTATAAAGTAGCCCCTCAGGAAGTTTTCCTTCAGTGTTTGAAAAGCTCCTTTCTTGCGCATTCAAATGACATCCCACTGTAAGCTTGATAACTGAGTACAATACATAGAAAATTAAGATTACTATCAGAAATAGCAATTAAAAAGAGACCTTAATAAACATGCAAATTATTGAACAAGTGTTTGCTTTTAACTTCCAACCAGGGGCACTGTTGAGTGTTTTTGTGTCTTATATTAATGCATTTCTGTAATATCATAGTCTCTGGTTCATTAGTTTGAAGATAAAAACGACTGATTCGCTATTCAGGACTATGGAGCAGGTTTTGAGATAACTCTATTGTACAGCAGGTTTTGTGTGGATGTGTGTGTGTTTGTCTCTGTGGGGGATTGTCTTACATCTCCATGAGGACGTTCGTCCATACTGGCATTATTGACATTGCATCTTTATTGTATTTTGTAAATTTTGTTTCCCTCTGAATTTAACTCTACTTAAAACTTATTTTCTATTTGTCAGTCACCTGTTCAAGATAATGATTAAACAAATCCATACTTTTTTGTACCTTGAGGGCTCATTTTCAGTTTTAACTTCAGGAAACTTTCCTTATCTGAAAAGAAGTTTTAAAAACAACTACAATCAAACTTAGTTGTTTATTAGTCACAACAATGTCGAGGCAATGTAATTAATTAAAAAACACACCTTGACAAAATCCTTCATTGCAGAAATGTGGTGTATCTTTGCTTCATGTCAAGTAAAGAAAATGTGGCTATTATTATTATTCAGCCTGCTCTCACTCTCACTCCCAGGACGTCAAATATTGCGGCTTGGTCAAGGGCTGTAAGTGTCTGATTCCAACCCACAAGGCAGCCTTTAGCATCTGTATGAGACAGAGCCAGCACATTCTCACTGCAACCTCGGTACATATTGATGTTTAGTCATGGACTTTCCACATCCAGATATAACTTGCAAGGTACCTTGGGTGGTTGTTGATGTTCTGGGACACCGTGTCAAGTTCTGCCAGTTACATGCATTGACTTCTTTCAAAATACACATCCATTTTCATAGGATAAAATGACAGGGTTTGGCTTTATAATCTTACTGGACACAAGCACTACTCTCCCGGGTGAAAGTCCACGTTTGTTGGACCCATCCACCACCTCTCCCGCCCGCCCCACTCGGACTCTCACCACTTTCACTTTTTTCGTTCTTGTCCGGTTTTCTCCCTGACAGCAGAGCGCCATTATACTACAACGGCAACCGGACACATATCATAACGATGTAAAAGGACAGCTTTCTTTGTCGTTGTTTGACACCACAAGTCACTGCCCAAGCGCTGGATTTTGACAACATCGGAGTGAGACCAGGTTGTTTGTTGGACCCATCCACCACCCCTTCCGCCCGCCCCACTTGGACTCTCGCTACCTTGACTTTGGTACTTGTACAGTCGCGTTTCGTCCCTGACTTAGCAAAGCGCCATTAAACTACAATGGCAACCGGACACATATTATGCCGATGTAAAAGGATGGCTTTTTGATTTCTAAAAAATTACGTTACATAATTAATGTGGCATAAGTTTCGTGACATACTCATTAACACTTTTGTCAGTTAAATTACATAATAAACATATTTATTTTAACCCCAACAATGATCTTTTTTCTAAACCTAAGAAGTAGTCTTGTTGCCTAAACATCCTCTTAGTGTTCATAACTAAAACTACTTTCCTGTGAACGTATAAATCTTATTTTGGAAAGATGCTGTGCATGTAACAATCGTAAATTGACATCCAAAATCTGACGCTATAGGTGTACCTAGAGTGTCATAGTTTGAAGCGCAGGGCTGCTGACTAAGCTGCCGTATTTGACGAGTTGGGAGTTAGAATGTGTTGCAATATTATACGTGTACCAAAATTCAGTCAAGCTAAAATGCATAATAACTCCAAGAATCAGCTGGAGACAGGGCCTGCCAGTAAGTGACAGTAGTATGCATGTAATATTATGCATGTGCAGAATTTAAGGAAAGAATTTAAACATGCACATCTTGTAATTAAATCATTAATAGTTACTGAAAAGCTTAAAACTGAGAAATAGAACAAAAAACAAAACAAAACATACTAAAAAATATCTAATGAGATCTGAGCAAACTATGATGGACAGGTACTTGTAGACGTGATCATTTGTTGCAGCCTCTGCTGTTCTTTCCTGCAGTGCAGCTTGAGAACAGACTTCAGCACTTGTTCCATGTTCTTGGAAGCAATGCACTGTGGTCTGTTCCTGCCACACTGGTGGCATTGTGGCTATGTGAGCGGAAATCAGTAGGCAGCTCCTAACAATCAGACATAATGTAATACAACACTATTGAGCCTTTTTGAAGGACATTTGCAGACCTGAGTGCAACGTTTTATGTGAGTGCGTACTCAGTGTGGCAATGATCTTCTTTTGAGAGGGAACATGAACTTTCTAGTTCAGTGTTATTTTACAGAAAGAAAGTCTAGATTAGAAATATGTCTGTAAATCAGAATCAACAGGGGCCATCTCGATAGTAGGGGGGGTGGTGCTCTGGGCTCGGTGCACCTTATGAACCGCTTTGCCTTCACTAACCAACGCAAGAACATTTTGTGCCTTAGTATAGCCTGTTTGAAGTCGGCTAGGTAACCTGGGGGCTGCTGGTGTCATCTGTGCTGTTGGCTGTGATTGTGTACACTGATCCTGCCACAGCATCATGGAGCTGTCTTTTCAGCACCATGGAGTTCTGCTGACAGTTAACATCTGCAGTGCTGAGAAAAACAACACCATGCAGACTGAAAAGTAGAATCAAAGTTGTGATCTCAGAGGTGGATGCTGCTTCGGTATGTATGGAGGGTGTTGGCATGTGGGTGTGTGTATGTGTGATATCCCCAATCAACGTGATGCCTTTGTATGTGTAGAGTGCAGCAAAATGTGACCCTTAAATTGAATTAAATAGTATTTGTAAGAAACTTATATGACTGAGAAGTGACTTGGACTATAAACTTGCATTCATACTTGTCACAAAAACAAATTAATTGAATATTTGGACATGGACGTGTCTTCATCTGGACCCCACATATGACAGGACCCCAGTACAGCAGAGGGCTGACCACACTGAACTGGGTGACATAATTAAAAACAGTGTATCTACTTAAAATATATCAAATCAAGCGCATCTATCTCAGAAAAATACAAATGAATACTTATATCATTGTTTCACTTTTTCCTCACCTGTACCAGTCAAGTCCTCTGTCATAGTTTCTGTCAAAAAAGTGCGGCTCTGTTCCAAGTGCGCGCACATCTGGATGTATCCGGATGAACTCCAGCACCGCCCTGGTGCCTCCTTTCTTTACACCGACTATCAACGCATTAGGCAACTTCTTATTCCCATATTTTTGCGCAACGCTCATATTTCTCAACTTCATGTCAGCCCAGTGACTTCCAGACGAAGCAGGAGCTTTACTTTGGTCGCGGAGATCACTTGAGCCCCGCTGGGCAGCAGACTCATCCAGAGCGGACCTCACTTCCAGCGAAGCGCAATTGTCTAATTTTCCAAGAAGTTTCTTCCCTCCCGCGTTCTTGGTCGGCGGGCATCTTTTCCCCTCGTAACCCTGGTTTGTCATGATTGTGCTGCGACAGAAAATAATACTGTAGCATAAGTAGGTGCAGGACAGTGACACAGTGAATATGAAGGCGAATCTGGCGCTGAATCTATTAGTAGGTGAGAGGAACCTATGTGCCATGTCTCCATGGGTTCAAAGTGCTGCATGATTTTCCATCGGAGTCTTCCTCCTCTCTTTGTCTGCGGTCGGAGTCTGGCAATAACACAGGTTCTAAAGTCAGACAGACGGGCACATGAGGATAGGGGTGGCTTCTCGGAGGCATCAACCGCGCGTAAGTCGCATTATTCCTTTTCATAGGCTGCTGAACTGTGCGAGAAAACTTGGAGCAGAATAAGGGAAGAAATGGGTCAGTCCTCCTTTTTAAACAAGTTTTTCTTAAGTAGTTTGAAGTGAGTCATTTGGATCAATAACTGTCTTAAAACGAATCCCAGGGGAATTTGACGCCCATCTTTATCCTGCTTCTCCTTGTTGTGTGTCGATAGTGAGGAGGAAAAAAAAGTCCAATGCGTCCTGTGTCCCACCAGTGTGATTATTATCGCCTCCGAGGGGATTTCGATGCTCAGCCCACCGCTTTTCCTTTCACAAAGAAGTTGTGAGGATATATGCACTTAGGCTACCAGCTATAAATATTTAATCACCCCCCTGACGTCATGCACATGATCATAATTCCATATGCGTTTTGTTTTAAAGGAACATCCTGAATATTTGAGGTAACATATCTGGAGATTTAAAGATGCAACATTTGTCATTAATTTGTTATTTCAACTTTAATTTTAACTTTAAATATATCAGAGCTGCAAGTGTGTGTGTTGACTGAGCCCAAGGACATAGGGTTTATAATGTTTGATGTATAAATAACATGGCTCATTTCAGAGGAATCCACCAAAACACCCTTAAAAGTAGCTATCAACAGTTTTGTAATCAGTTTTCAGCACCTTTGCTTTTTACTTGCAACAGAATGATTCATCAAGGGGGAGCATTCTCTACATGAGTATTTTCTGTACACACACCTGGGCATTAGCAGCCTCTGAAAGTCAAGATCAAGCTTGATCCTCTGTGTGCCATGATGCAAGCTGGATGCAGACCAGAATGCAAAGTTTACAGCTCTTTCAATGTCACGGTTAATGTTTTTCTTTATGGGGGAGTGGATAGCCTATGTGGTGTTTGGATACAGGGCAGCTGCAATATTCATGATTTTCCACCAAAATATGAATATCTTGTTTCAATTTGTGACCCTGCACAAATACGTTACACCATTAATATCAGATGTCACTGATAGTGTAGAAAAACGTACCTGTTTTTATTTCATCAGCAAGACTTACCAAATATACAAAGTACCCCACATTTTATGTGCGACAACAGTCCACAGGCTCAGGCTAGACTACCACCAGTTGTCCTGTGCAAGGTATCCTTATACAACCGCTCATTTGGTATCTTATGAAAATGCAATAACAGTTTGTATGATATCTAACAAATTAGTGCCCCATGAATGACATTTTCATCTTACGTACTTAACATAGACTTATCTACTAAATGCAAAGGTCTTTTTTGTCTTTCTAAATCTTTTTATAGGTACCACATTCTGACCTTGTCACATATCAGCGTTTGCTCATGGACTTTCCATGTCAAGATACAGTGTGAAAGGTACCCAGGGTACATTGGTTTCAAGTTCTGCCTGTTACATGCATTGTCTTCTTTCAAAATACACTTCAGTTTTCACAGGAAATTTACCATTTACATACAGTCTTTTTCAAAATAAATGCACTACATTGGTAACTGCTAATTGACATTTTTTTTTAGCTTCAACAGCTATCGCATGTGGTTGGGTTTAGGCAACTAAAACATGAATAGATTTAGGCAACTAAAGCACATGGTTGGGTTTGGGAAAAAAGAACAGGGTTTGGCGCTATCACCTTAAAGGACACTGCTCTCCCGGTTGTAAATCTGTGTCCAGCTACAGTCCAACATGGTCTATGAAATGACACAATGCTTAACTAATAATTGCAATATTAGCTATAACTTAAACATCTGACTTTCTTATTAACAATGGCTTTCTTTTGAAATTTAGAAACAAGTAAATGGTAAAGTGTTTACCATTACAGTGTATTACTATCCTATACCACATAATTTAATCACACTTTACTCCTAAATAGTACTATAGATCCACTAATTAATCTGAGTGGACATGTGGAGTTCCCCAGGGTTCGATTCTTGGGTCACAATTATTCAGCCTGCACATGCTCCCTCCAAGCCAAATCTTACATGATAATAACGTTGCCCATCACAGCTATGCAGCTGATGCTGATATTTACTTAGGTCTTTAGCAAATGACTATGGTCACTTAGATTCACTCAGTTAATGCTTAGAGCAAATAATCAGCTGGATACAATAATTTTTGATTCCAACAAATAAAAACAAGACAGAAATTAGTTCTCTTCCTGTGTCTGTGCAGACTCCCCCTCACAAAGTGAGCTGTTTTTACCCTTTTGAAAGCCCACAATATGAATTTGATTTTCCAACACAATTTTCCAGGTCCTCTGCAGCATAGATAACAAAGTGTGATTATGTCTGTCCATTGTGGTTGAGGGAGTTGAAAGGGATTTTTCAGCACCAGTGTTTTTTAGTTTTTTTGCAGCTGCTTCTCATTTTTTTGCCTTGTTCATTATGTATCATAACAGGGAAGCCAAATTTCAAAGTAAATTCATTAAACATGTTCTCTGCTGCCACTGTCTTAAAAAAGTTTAATGTCTTTTTGTATCCAATGCAGATTGTCTAACAAGGTGTAAGACCTGTACTAGTCCCAGGACAGTAAAGGTACTTGTATGTCATGTCTTTGTACTTTTCTCGAAGTCCAGTTTGAGTAAAGATTGCTTTTTTATGTTATAAAAGATCCTCTCGAGAAACCCGGAGTGTTTTCCATTCATGTAGAAGTTCTTTAACCTTTGCCATTTCCATAGTCCTGACACCTCTGTTTGTTTTTCTCTTGACTTTCAACTGGAGCACATGGGATATGCCTGGGTCTCGCAACTGTGCCTGCAGTACCTCTGGCCTTGTTACTTTAATGTCTGGCTGGCTATCTGTATCTGTCTCCTCAACATGTGGGCTGCAGGTAATCACTGAGATCCACACCACCTCATGCTGCTTTTGTGTTTGAGCTGCACTGAATATTGCACCTAACACTTCAGCGGAGTCCTGCTTTGTGCACTCATCCAAATCTGGTCTTACTCAATCTCAGCTCGTCAAATACTGACGCTTGAGTGGCAGCCTTTGGCGTCAGATACCAACACACCAAGGCACCATTTAGTGGTGGTATGAGACACACCGGTCAGCTGTGTTTTTTATGCACTGGGCAACTACCATAGTATAGCAAGAAAGTCTGCATAGAGTGGGCAAAAGTGGTGGTGGATCTGTCAAATTAAGTCTGGACTTTCACCAGGGGGCCTGCTGGTCACCTGTTCAAGTCAGTTGTGTTATTTTGACAACAACACAGTGTGCTAGTATGTGCTGCATGCAATGTTAGTGACGTATGTCACACAACATAACATTATGTTAGTGACAAACATAGGCTACTTGTTTTAAGCCAAACCATGATGTTGTTTTCTAAACCTAACCACATGCTTTTGTTGCCTAAACCCAAGGCATTAAACCAAAGTGTTTTACCTCCATTCTAAGAATGGACAACAAGCAGAAATGCATGCAATGAGCAAAAGTTGACAGACCATCCCGTAGTGTCTATAGCGCATCATATTCTGATGTGTAGGGCCATGGACCAAGCATCAATATTTGATGAGCTGGGAGTTCCTTCTCACAGGAGTGTGAAACAGGATGCCTGTATTTGTTTTTCATGGATGGTATTTTAGAGTTATGTTGAACTTAGTCAGCTCAGGCACCCAGCAACATCCAGTTGCATTTAGATTAGCTGTGCTCAGAACGAACGAAACAGGCCATGACATACTCAACCAATGCACCATAACTTTTGGTTTGTTTTAATGTCCTAATAGTCTTGGCCAGGAAGTTTACAGTATTCACAAACTCGAAAGGGTTTACAATTAAAATTTTTTCTGTTTACAAACAAAACTATTCTTGGTGCTCTGACATCTTGCTTTGCGAACACTTCGCAGGAACCCTTGAAAAACAACAAAATAGGTCGGTGTCATACTAGCTGGACTTAATGTTTTCATGTCTTCATGTCAAGCTGTAGCTCTGTTAGCTTACGTAGCTGTCTACCACTTTCACACACCGGTGTTTAATGTGTGTCTGCCAGCAATGGAAAATGTTTCACCGTGAAATGTCTAATCTCAGTGGGACCTCCACATTGTTGCACCATCCAGACTGCAACTGCATTAGTGATGTTGAAAAATGTTCACTTTAATTATTTAACTGGTGAGTCTTGGCAAAACATACAAGTTGGTACAGCAGCACTGGGCACACACCTTCATAACTTACTCTGCCACCTACTGGCAGGTGCGATACATGGGTAACTTTGAACAAAGAACCTAATCTATGGTAAAAATGGTATTCAAAAAATCTTATTTTAGGTACCACGCATGCCCGAATCTTCCTGTTTGCCTCACATTGTCTTTTTTTAATGAAGTTTGGGATCCATTTTCTGTGACTGTGTGTTGTATGGATGTCCTTTGAAGCACCATCTGCAGCAACAATGATGCGAAGCTGTTAGAAGTGAAAGAGTTCAGAGCAAAGTTATGTAGCTGTATACACTCCCTGCTTCAAGGCAAATAGTTCTTAAAAAAGGGTGAAGCACACAAGTGAAAGGAGTTGGTTTTCTAAAGGATTATAATGATAAAAGTGTACTTATACTGTATGAACTAAAAGTGAAAAACAGAAGAGGTGCAAGGAGGTGAAGGTGAAACCACTCTTAAACAGAAAATGCAGGTACTCAACCAGCCTCTGCCTCCTTCTACTTCTTTATTATTTCAGCAAACCTGCACAAGAGTGCTCATAAAAGTCACATCTGACATTAAAACAACAGCAGTATCTCCACATTAAGAGAACAAAACCTACAATGAAACTGAGACTCTTTTCATGAACAGAAAAAAAAACACTCAAGGTTCAGCATATGTTGTTATTCCCTTTCTTGCTCATTAACTTTTGTTTATTGCAAATTAAAGAAGGGTTTAAAGCGGATTTATGCTGCATAGAGTAGCAGTGGGGTTAAGTGAATCCTTTTAGGAGAACATTCAGAGGTGCTTTGTGAATATTGTTACATTATACAAGTGAAATATCTCAGATTCAGTGCTGCTTAAACAGACAACACTCTCAGCTCCCTGGGGTTTACCACCACACTGCTACACTGTACTCCAGGAAATAAACAAGTGGCAGGTCTTTCTTTACACTACTAAAGCTTATACACACTTTTATGAAGTCATCCATCAGGCCCCTTGAGCTGGCAACCAGACAGCAGCGTTTCACCTGCAGCTCATGTTGAATGATGTCAGAAACTGTAACCACCTCCAAAAAGTTTAATGATGTACAGCCATTTGGACACAGCAGTTCC